TTTATCAACTAATCTTTATTTGTCCGTCTCCGACATTGAAAATTCCAGCAGGTGGCTGACAGTCTTCAATGTCAAATGTAAAATGTAAAATTGACAACACTCTTATTAGTTTTCATGCGTTCGTTTGTATAGATAGATCGATTGTCGTGCAACATGTCGCGTTTTATTTATCACACACATGACGCGCTTTTGTTCATTTTTATTTTTATTCTGTTTCGTGAATCTCTTTGTCTCGGTTTTGAAACGATGTCGAGACGTTTCGACGACGCTGCGAATAATTCGCAAAAATTTAAATTTGACCGAACCGAAATAATTTGCGACGAGAAAAAATAAAAAACCAGCGTTGCATACATTTTTTTCTCTTTACGCTTCTCAAGTCTTTCGCTGCACTTCGCTGAGTCGATTTTATCTTCGTTTCCCAAACGCATCTCTATCGAGTTACTCGTGGGTTATCTTAAAAAATCTCGTATAAATAAAAATATTTAATCGTGAGGAAACTATATAATTAATGTTACATTTTCCATCCAACAAGGTTCACATCTGGAACAATTATCGTTACACGCCCTAATATTTTCGGACGCGGATAATTCACGTCGCAATTTTCTCATGCAAATCGAGTAAGAGAACCGGATTCCCGCTCGTTCGAAATGGCACGGATGAAAGTCCGTCCATCCGCAATGCGACGTCGTTATAGCGCGATATGGACACGCGTACATATGTGTGTGTCATTCTTTTCTACCTTTATCAATTTCGCCCTTCCGTCATGTAATGTTCATCGATCGCGCGCTCATCCATCCTGGATGACAGCTCCAATTCAAGGTCGTCGATTCTACGTCCATTGTGACTCTCCTTCCTCCCCCGTTGCAGCACGAGACTTAAATTAAGCGCGACACGCGTGTCGAAGCGCTCTCGATTGTTGCGATTGTTGCGATAATAGTCAGCGGGCACCAATCCGACGTAGCGGAGGAGCTTTGTGTCGTTCGAAGCCGCAGGACGACATATTGATTTCCTTCGTAGACTGGACACTGGCTATTATCGATCCGCTAAAAAGTTCAGGGCTGTCTCCGGGAAAGAGGCCGGGTTCCTTCAGCGTCTCTCGAAATGCTTCGGAATCGCCCGTTACCTTTTAATCGGTCATTGAATATCCGTTAGCTCTCGATTCATAATTTACCGCACACGCTATGCGTTCCGTAGGTATACCTTATTGAGATTGCGTGTCGAGAGAGGTTTACTTAATACGTCGATTATTAAATTAGACGGTATTGAATGAAATTAAGATTAAGACGGAGTGTGTATACGTATGACAAAATATGATTCTTCAAAACAATCTGTTTGTCAAAACATTCTTATTACTTTTATATAAATACTTACACATATATTCATCCTTATAATACATAAATATTTTAATTTTATATCTCCCATTGCACATTTGATTTTCTGTGGAAATTCGCTACTTGAAGAAACTAAATTTTTTTAAAATTTTGGAATCATAAGTTATAAGCGTTTTTAACAAAAACATGAAATATATACAATTGAGATGTTTAAAAATAATAATAATAAATTCAATTTCGAATGAATTTGAACAACTACCTGTATTTTTATGTATTCACAGAGTACACATCGATCGATAAGAAACAATTGCGAATCCGTGAACAAATTTTGCGGGTGATTGAAGAACGCTTGCCAGGTCGGGATCTTCCGCGCGTGTTATTATTTAAGAAGAAATAACGAAAAGCAAAGAGAGTAAAAGAGAAAAAGTGTAAGAGAGACAGAGGCACTGCCGTGAGAGACATGTATCATCTTTTTTCTTCCTTTCTTGCAAGGATGCGTTTGGAGACGTCTCGCGTTGATTTTCCTGAAACTTTGACATATTTTCGAGTAGTTTAAAATAAACGACATTCTGTATTCTTTGCCCTTTGTCGCAGATTTAGGGAATGCGACAATCTCTTGACATTATTTCATATTTAATCGTATTTCAAAATCGAATATTATCGATTGAAAGTAATATTATATATGATGCACACATGCATGAATGCATGCAGTCAACAATGCTTGTCTTCATCGTGCGAATAAATTTATCGAACAGTATGGTGCGCGTAAACGCACATCTATTTTATTAAAAAAAAGTAAAACTAGTAGTAAAACTGGTAGTGACTACTTTTACATTTTTCTATTTGAGTAAAATTCCAAACTTTAATTTTTACCTTATATTTTTATTGCATTCTTATTAAATATTATGGACGTGACTATAAATATTTGGTTTTTTATCTTTGCATATATTTTAATTTTTTTTTAATTTAATGTGATAATTGATACAAATTATTTTATTGAATTTGTTTGTAGATTTTCGAGTTTGTCGCCTAAATCTGCAATAAAGTACTTATAAAAATATATACATATATTCTTTACTTTAAGCTACTCTACGGTATATCCAAAGATTGCAAAAATCGGAGAGAGCGAACTCGAGACGTTTCTTTAGATCTGTGAATTTTAGGTACTAACGTTGATGTTAGATAATCGTGTGCCGTGTGCCGAGAAGTATTTATATTTCGTGCAGTCACCTACATACACGTTTGTCGTTGGTTTGTTGTTGTTTTGCCAACACGTGAAAGATTTCTTTTTTTCTTGGATTGTTGCGTACGTTTTTCGCCTTATTATTGATACCACAGTGAGAGCAATTACCGTTTTCACACAACTTATTTCCCTTTCATCTCTTATCCCGTCTTGCCTTCCTTCTCCGATATAATATCCGACACACACGCGCACATACATATACTTACCTATTCATTGTGCATACTGATACAAGTCGAAGAAAAATATCTCTTCTTATTTGATGCGCGAGATTCACAAAAGATTGTTCATTCTAAAGTAGCCTCTATTATTTCAGTTTTGGATTTAGTCATTTTTAAATTTTATTAGACTATACTTTAATAGTGAAGAGAAAGATGGAAGAAATGTTCACAACTATATCAGTAGTGATGATCAGTGATATAACCTGCAACTTTTTTTTATTGTGAGTTTTAATTATCTTTCTGTGTAATTATTATGATACATAATCAGAATGCACATTATTGTTTACATACATGTACAGCATATCAGAAGACGCGATTCTCGTAGTAAATAGATTCGGCAATAAATACGAAGTCGATTTTTTTCTTATGAAAATTTAATGGAAAACGCCCAATTATACAAAATTTTGTATTGTCAAAAATTAATGGATTTTCGACAAATTAGACCTTTGAGACCAAAAAGAAGAAATCTAATGTTAAACGAACAAATTAATAAGAAATTCAATTTCTTAATTAATTTAAAGTGAAATCTACGTAAAACGGAATTTTAATTCTTAATTATACAGACATTTAATTTTAAAAATTAGAGAGCTGCTTCTAATCAAATCACATTAAGGCAAAATTAATTCAATTTGACAAAAATTTACATTTTAAGCTTACAGAAAGCGCGATACACTCGTGCAAAATGATTTACCACATGAGTTTCGAGATCGCGCATTTTGAATTTTTTTATTTTATATATATAAAGAGGACAACTATTATATATATTATACAAGAAAATGTATATTTTTTTTACGTTCGCGTGAAGACTTTGAAAGATGCGGGACTTCGGAACTCGAAATGTAAACATCTTATATACTTATTAGTTATTCTCCCTGGTACATTTATCGAAATACAGAGAAGCGCATCTTCCGGTATGATTGTCCGTATATTACGTATGCGCGAAGATCGATTGAAGAGAGCTCGGTCCCTCGCTCAACTCTGCCGTTTGGTGTTGCGTGCTTTTGGTGTTGGTAGAGAGCTGTTCGAGAGCGAAAGACCGTCGAGTTGGGAATTTTCTTGTAACGCGACACGCATTAAGGAAAGTTTGTTTTTCGTCAAGCGTTTCCGACAGACTTCTGGCATACTCTGCGAGCCGAGGAATCGGGCAATGTAAGAACGATGCATGTGCACACGAATACGAGCTCGTTTCTCCGCGATTCTCAGGATACTTAATGATCATCATCTATCCTTATTTTTTTTTTAATCTACGCGCGATCGAGAAACGCACGAGTTTTTTCAAAAATATTTATCCCGAATGACAATCCCCATGATCGATATCGCGACTCTCTCCACATCGATATACACATTATACGAAGAGAATTTTCACGCATACATGTACACGCACAATCATGATACGAGTAACAATGCTGCGTCACTATTCATCCTTCCCGATTCCATTATGTTCCATTATAAAATGAGAGAAGTATATTGGATCGAACGAGACCTGTCAGATCTATTTCGCTGCGCCTTCTTCGAAAGTTTGCGGTATTCATTCGATTGGTTCTCGATCGGTCCAAGCTAGGTGTATTTGTTTGTAAATTATTGCTTCGCGGACTAGACGGCGTCTTGATCTACGCACCCATATCATGGTAAAATTTATTAAAATATGTACAGCTGATGGTGCTTTCATACTTGACGTGCGAAGTATAGATACGATCATTTATACAAATCAGGTGAATATATTAAAAGCAGATTTCGCGTGTAATGGAGCACTTAACGGCAGTGATGAGCACATTTTAAATGCTATCAAGAGTAATCATTTAATTATTTTATTATTTCTGTAACGAGAATGCATGTATATGTCTGAAATATTTATCTCCAAAGATTTTAAAATTAATTCTAATTATTTCTAAAATTTGCTAAATATTTCAAATAAGATTTTAATGAACATATGAATAAAGTATTATCTCATAATCATAGAAATAATTAAATATCTTTATATCCTATTTGGATTAATTTCTTATCGTGCTCACCTCTGGATATAACTACGCAATCTATTATAGTTTCGCTCCTCCTTCAAAAGAACAAGAATATCTCGCCGTCATCGTCAGAGTACGCGTGTTGCGATAAATTCACAAACACATTCGCCGCAATTAGATCTACGAGTGTCGCTGCGTTCGAGCCGCAATCATCAGCATCCATAACCGACCGACCGTTCTCGTTTTGCAGGGTACCACCAGGCTACGTGTACCAGTCACCCTACCTGGCCGCCGCGGCGCCAGGTGGTTTGGTACCACTTCCGGCGACGCAGTTGAGCCACGCAGCCGCTGTTGCCGCGGCATCGCAGTTCTACGAGTACCAGAATGCGGCGGCGGCCGCCGCGACCTACCCGGGCACCTCGTACAACTTCGCCGAGGCGTACCCGTACACGACCGCGGCCGCGGCTGGTACGTGTTTGAATAGTGTCCAGAGTAAGGGTAGCAACTACCCGTTACACCATCACCATCAACACCACCAACAGCAGCAACAGCAGCAGCAAAACGGTCCCGCGACAGCGTTGGCGCATCAGCAACGGCTGGAGAAAGCTCTCCTACCGCAATTTCTGCCGTCCGTGCTGCGTGATTACGGTAGAAAATCTCCAGAGATAGGGGGAGAGAGGAGAGGGCTGGGAAAGAGGGAGGGTTGCGCTGCACCTATCTCGGGGCTGCCTGTAGTGCTTGATAAATATTTCGCGGGGTTCTCACAGGATCTGGTTCTTTTCTCGTGTTTCACAGGGGGTACGCGCGGATAATGCGAAAGGGGGGGTTGAATCGGGGAAACGTGCAACTTCCGACGTACAGTTTCTCTTCAGATTATGCGCGCGGTTAGGGGGAATAATAATTCCGACGTCGGATGTGTGCCGGCATTTAAAGGCGGGGATGCAAGCAATGGAGCGTCGTTTATCCTGTCCAAGAGCCTTGGGCATTTCCTGACGGATCCTTCGTGGGAACCCTGTTACACATCTCTCTCTTGCGTTGATACACATCTCGCTTTCTCTCAACTTCGATCATTGAATATCTTGCAGCCCTCTCGTATCGATATCAATATTTTTCTCATCAAAAATTCTCAGCCTTTTATGAAACAGAAATTCTTCTTATTAATAGTTTTGTATTTTTTGTTATTTTTTTTTATTCATATTCTTTGCTTTAACTGCGTACATTATCGTATGTTACGTTGTAGTTGTACGTTCGCGCGCTTCACTGTTCGATAGTGAATGAACAATGAATAGGACAAAGTCTTGCATGCGCTTCATGAACTAGACACATATTGATGCATTATATACATATTGTCAGTCTGTCTGCGCTGTCTGTGGTGATGGTGACGGTGTCCTCGCGATGAGTGATGGTGGTCAACGAGCGCCATCCGCTTTACGTCTTGCGAGTAAACAGCACTCCAAAAAAAAGCTAAGGCACAAAATAAGAAGGTTTACAATGCGCACAAATCGCTTGCATACGCTTCTCTTGTGATTCATTATTTATTAGTATCTTCGTATAAAGTCTAATTATTCTAAAATTATCAGATATTTTTTTAATGACGAATTCTTTGGGCAGTTTAGAATTTCCTCGGAGAAAATTATCGTTAATGATTTTCGAATTATAAACGATTGAAAAAAAGACCTTTTGCGAATTAAATTTTGGAGAGTCAAATACGTGAATAAAATTATATTTCCCAATTATTAATTTTCGATAAAGCTTAATAAAATTTTAATTTCAAATTTAATTACGAAAACATGTGATATAGAAAATTTAAAAGTTGCAAATTTTCTCAATATTTTTATTAACAATAAACAGGGAAAAATTTATTCTAAATCTCGATCAAAGAATCTATCATTAAAAAATAATTTCAAGACATCTTTTATATATATACTATGTAATTTTAACTTGCACTTGTTTAAATTCTTTTAAACAAATTTTTTGGCGATTTTGCAGATTTAAAATCTTTTTAATAAATGTTTTATTTTAAGTATTACAATTAAATATATATTATATTATAAATATACACATATTATTTGTCAGAAACAAAGAAATCTTGTCTCTCGTTCCAGCTAACGCAGCGGCGGCGGGTTACGTAGCACCATACACCTATGCCACATTACCAGGTGCCGCGGGTTTGCCGGCAGCGGCTGCAGCGGCGGCAACAGCAGCTGGAGCGGCTTTCCCAGGCCTGCCGTATCAGACGACACCTCAGGAGGCCAGATTGCAATAAAGCACTTTCGACATTAGATCATCACGAGACAGTTGTAGCCGAGCCTTCTTACGTGACAGAAATGAAGCGAGGGATGCGGAGGGGAGCTGCGCTAAACGTACTCGATCTCGCCATCTTTGGGTGATCGGCTCGTTAGCTTCCTCCGTTTCAGTTATTTTTTCCACGAGACTTTTGCGTTCCCGCTCGTGTCTCGCAAATTAATCCAAGTACCTCTACGAGAACCGTGAAGAGAATGAGATCTGACGAAGCGCCAGCTCCCTCAGAATCGACGATCCGCTGCTTCTTCTCTCGCTAAGTCTGTATAATCTGTATTCTTCCTTTCTCGCTTCCCTGATTTTTAATTTTCCTCTTCTTAATTTCTTTCCTGAAACCGATATCGGCCCGCTCTCGGTCAATATTTTGTGAAATTTTAGAAAAGATTCTACGATTTTTGAGAGAGCCTACGATTACGACGATTATTTATAGCGAACTCGAGTAAGTTTGTTCGAGAAAATTATCCTCGATCAAGTCGGAATTTGAGAGCCGAAAAGGACTTGATTGAATGCGCTTATGACCTGCATTCAAGAGTTATATGCGCGAAAAAACGCCCGCTAGGTTTTTGGGCACAATGCTGTTTTGTAAGATTTCTATTTCGAAATATTACAACGAGATGAGGCGATGTATCGAATGTGATCGCGTGTTCTGATTTTTGAAATCTAACTTTCTTAAAATTCAAGCTCATCGAGATTATAATCATACTAGTTCCTTGCTCCTATCAATTTCCATCGGTGGTTCCTAAATCGGACGCATTGCTCACGCGACTTCTTTGACAGCCAATCTTAACAGAGTGTCAGTCAAACGATGTATTCGTGAATTTTCTCTCTCATAGCTGCGACACAATCTGTCTTCAACAAAGATTAGACACGAATGCGTTAAATTAAAAATATTAATAAAATTAATGTGAGAGGTCTAGTAGCATAATTTCGGAATTATTTATATTCAGGATTAGAGATGCATAGAGAAAGCAATGTGTTTTAATTTTTAGGTAAATTTTCAATAGATCTTAAAAACTCTACGCGGTAAACAAGATTTCTAGTATTATAAGCTATTAGGTTATATTTTCAGGCGTTTTCCGAAGCGATAAATAAACAAGAAATTATGAAATTGCGTTTAATCTATAATAGGTCGATTTTTAGGATAATGTTTAGGATGGTATTCATAATCGTTCGGCGCACAATTGCTTATACCAGATTAATAACATAGAAATAATAGGCAAAATAATAAAAAATTTACAGTGAAATGGAACTAACATCAGTTTCTTCGTCATTGTTATCGTCTTAAATGATGTTTGATTTACTTTTGATTGAAAAACTATCGAGAAAATTAGCCGTTAAATGCCTGCAATTTCTCCGCTGATTTCAAGGACGAGTTTCATTTTTATTTTTTTTTCATCCAGCACAATCAAGAATTCTTCGAGATTGCTAAGAATTCGCTGATTTTTTTTAGAGTTCTTTCTGAATACAAATTTCTCATCAATACAAGCATATATATGTCGATACATGCATATAATTAAATGCTGATTAAATAATTATAATTTAATTATTGAAATTTTATAATTCCTTATAATAATTATAATATAACTATAATATAATTATAATTATATTCTTTATAATAATTGTAATTATAATTCTTTATTCTCAAGGAACACGACTATGAATACTATCTATAAGATATATCTATACATAGAGAGAATGCGTCATAGTAACAAAGTATACGTATCTTCCAAAGTACTTGTTTACCGGTATTTTATTTCTAATGCGCACTGCTTGTTTCGGCTCTCTGTTGATTAGCAGACTACGTTTATACGTATATATATATATGCGTCGATATTTATTACAAGCTATATACTATGCATATTATTAGTTAAGATGTTAATTGATTTATCAGGAGGTAAAATCACAAAAATGTGATTTAAAAAGAGAAAGGTCGAAACTATATATATATATATATATATATATATATATATATATATTTATATATATGGTTAACGAAGACGACTAATTTAGCCACGGTGGCCTTAAATTCGCATATTAGAGCGAAACGATCAAGTGTCTTATTTCGAGGCCTTGTCATGTTAATAAACTTATATAAATGTATTAGACAAAAATGTAACACCGACCAACCTTTATGGCAACGCGAACACGCCGAGAAGCGAATGAATCGATTTGATTTGTAAATCGTTTTAATTATGAGAACCTAACGCTTTTTATCTCTGTTCGAATAACACATTAATTTTTTTTAACGATTAATTATTTCGATGAAAGCGTCGCTTTGTGTACGTCTTAAGTATTGCATTGCCTCTGATTATATTGAATTGCGATAATTCTCTGACACCTGATCGACTTTTCTTAAATTCATACGTTCGTCTACTCTTAGTGATCCAGTGCCTTAATTAGCACAGTCGAGTAGCCGTAATGATTAGAAACTAGTCAGCGATTTGTTAGTGCAACGCTCGACGCACTAACTCGTACAGGAGTGAGGCTCAATGAAAGGGTGAGGAGCTAAAGGAATATCAAAACATAATCAACTAGGATCGGGTTGAGGAACGTGGTTGTCTAGTCCCAAACCCTTTCAAACCTTAAATGAGGTTAACTCGGTTTGTTAGATTTGTAAGTAGAAGTTAATGCGCAGGGTGGAAACCAAAAGCGGAATTCTTTGTAAAAAGTTATAAAGAGAAGATGTTAGGACGGATTAGTTTAAGTATTACATAACGTAATAGGAAAATAAATTATTATTATTCTTTTACTATTATTCTATTATTATTATTATATTATTATTATATTATTATTATTATTATTATTATTAATATTATTATTATTATTATATTATTATTATTATTATTATACATTATTACACTATTATTGACATTATCACGTTTTATTATTATTATTATTATTATTATTATTATTATTATTATTATCGATATTAATTATAAGATATTAATTGTTCATGTGCTTAACGAAGAGACCGAATGTACACGTAACGTCATTGAATTTGTTATAAAATACACTAAAGCTTCCGTTGCGAATGAAGAGAGGATGATAATAGAGAAAGTTTAGGATGAAGATGCAAGGTATGTGCTCTTATCACGGGTACGATCGTCTTTTTGAATATCCTATATTCCTAGTATTAATTGTATATAAGCTTAATTATACATAGGTTGTAATATATATATTGCCTGTTATATCCTCAATAATATTAAAAATATTATTATCGCTCTATTAATAGATACACAAAAACCGAAAACAAATATATTATCATTAAGAGAAAGACGCGTATTTTTACTAATCAATTATATATATATTCCTTCGTGTATTAATTCGAATACACACGGAGCGACAGGATAGAAGAATTGTTGATGTAAAAATCAAACATTTTTCTCACATTACATTTTTAATACCACATTAGATCTCATATATCATTACAGATATCAAATATTATATATTAATCATTGTCTTTTCTTTAATTTTTTAATATTAATTTGGAGATTGCGATTTTATATTTTACAATAATTACAAAATCTGTTAATTATGTTAAATAGTGAAATCTATATATGCTCCCAAGTTGTTCTACACTTGCTTCGTCACCCGAGACAGTGGAGACTTCGTAACTTCGGTATCGTTGTTTTTGGCTGCTAAAGATAAATCTAATGGCCTTGCGAGAGATCGGATGCGAAAGAGCGTCGCGACAATTCGCAAAAACAAGCAAAAAGGAGAACCGCCCTCGTCGCGGCACCGTAACTATGCAAAAATAACTGAGCTAACACGACCAATGACACGGCACGATGATTTGGCATTCCTCTATCCAAAGTATCCAGCAACCGTATAATACTTTAACAATGTATTTTAAAGATTAATTATATAGCATCAAAAGACTTAATATATCAAAATTAATTTCAATTACTTGAAGATTACTGTGATTCCTACATTTTTAAATTAGATTTCTTATTAATTAATCTTTAAAATATATATAATTTTGAAATCCTTTGTATGTGTAAATTTTAAGAATAGAAATAATAACAAGAGGAGATACTTTAAATGACAGTGTGTCTTAAAAAATGCTTATTTATCATCGTGTATTATGTTCTTGCGAATATCACGATGTGATGTATCATGATAAAGTAAAATGATAATTATGCAATATAATTATAATAAATAAATTATATTAAAGAAGATTTAGAGACAAAGATCTATGAAATTATAAAACTGAAAAACATAAAGTCTATACGCAGTTATAAAAACAAATCTGTTAAAAATTTTTATTCTCCAAGATTTATCTATTAGATGCATTTGAAAATTGCATAAAAAAATGAACGGATAGTAATTCAGTAAATTTTATCTCATAATATTTTTAAATTTATAATTAATAATCCACACTTTTATAATAACAGATTTTAATAACAGATTTTCAATTTTTATTTATGGATGGATATATTTAAATTGTTGAATTGACATGAACGAATGATTTACAGAAGCTTGAATATATTAATAAAATAATGAAGAATATCAGAAAAAATTTAAGATGTATACAATTATATATAAATTATAAATTTTTAATAAGATCTAAGAAATACATATTTTAAAAAAATTTTTAAACTCTACGTTACACTTTGATGATTAAAGACATTTTCATTAGCCAAATTTCGCAGGAAAAATTCTATTCTACTTGTAATCCATGAATTTTCAGATAGAATTTCGAAATGTCGATTTCAATTGATATAATACTAATAATATCCTTTTTCATAAAGCGATGTAATTTTTTACTAAATTTTTATTGCGAGTACTGTTGCGTCAAGACAAACAATACATCAGCCGAGTACTGATTTAGCACAGATTCCAACCGTTTGGAATTCGTTCGCTACCTTACGGTTACAGGCGCGTAAGATCACTTGGAATGCAGATAATAAGATGTCAGCACTGGTGTCTGATTGGCGGTGCCCTTTGAATAACGTTCCGCTTATCATTCGTTTTGATAGAGAAATAGTAGGGGAGCATTGCCATTGACATACACCGAATAGGCTCAGTTATCTGGCGTTTATCCGCGCAAACTAGAGCGGCCGCGGTGTGTGGTGGTGATTTCTGAGTTACCCGGTAGACAGGAGCCGTCTCGGCGAGCGAGAAAAGACTCGAGGATCGCGATCCAGTGGAAATCGCGGTCCGGAAGTCCCTCCTGCATCCACGGTCCAAGGTCAAGGTGAGAGTGTTTCCTTGACGCGCTTTCTTTCCTTTTAATATTAAACAGGCATTTTTGCACATTATAAATATTTTTTTACAATGTTTTATGCAGGGCTTGAAAGAAACATTCTCGAAAGATACTTTTAGAATATAAAATTTAACTTTCTCCTTTTTTTATTCTTAGAAATAATAAATAACGTCGAAATATATCAGTAATTTCTATTTGTTTTCAAAATTTCGAATGAGAACCGGAATTATTTTCCACTGTAAACAATGATAATGTATATTCGCATAAATTATTAAGTTAATACATATGTTAAATGTATACCGGTATTTAATTTCATAAAAATTTCAATGATTTTATGCACTATGATTATTTTTGATAGTAAAATATCAATCATTATCTTTTGCAAATAAGTAAATCATTTCGTTGTTCTATATCAATAAAATCATTTTGTTAAATCAATAAAATTGCAATTATGTATTTCTTTCTTCTCTTTATAGTTGTTATTATACAATATCAACTGACAATTACCATATATGCATGATTATATTTAAGAAAAAAGAAATAAAGTATTACAATAAAAACATTCTTGTATGCAATGATTTAAATAATCTCGTTTCTCTTACGAGACAAAATAATCATAGAATTTTACATAACTGTGTAATTGACTTTTTTTACGAGCAATCTTACGAAAAACGGAAATAATAATTGGCAAAACTTTACATTAATGTTCATGCGTGCGCGCATGTCTGATTCTATGAGATGCTTGAGATAACTTACAATTACATAAGTAATTGCATTTAGATACATAGAGAATGAAGATAATTGCGGAAAAGTGAATAGCGTTTCCACTGATGTATAAGACAGAATAAAAGATTTTTTAAATCTGCACTCACAAAATAACATTCACAAAGTAACTATAAGTAGCTCTATTGATTAACAATATATTATATAATAACATAATATATCATTAATTATTATTATAATAGCATATTTTTAAAAATATTTGTAAGATGTTTAACCAAATATTGAGAATATATTGTGTGATTATTATGATTATTTATATGAGATATTCATAATGTTTTATAATTAACAAATATATTTTAATTTTTTTATAAAAGAGTGCATAAAAATATTGAATAAAATAATTTTATGATTGTTCTTACTATTTAAATAAAAAGAACAATGCAAAAACAATTAGAAATGTTTGATGCTATCAATGTTTTATTAAGAAGTACTTTATTTTGCTTGACAAAACTACGTAAAATATATTTGAACTCTTTATTATTTGATAACTTTAAGATGTAGATTAGATTGCTCACCATAAATGTTACTTAATCACGTATACATATTATTATAGTATGAAAGAATTCTTCTTAATATTAATTTTTTTAATTTCTCTTTCCAGATCTTTTCAGAAAATAAATTAATTATATATTATATATATACAGGGTCTACCAAAAGTGTGGAAACCCCTAAATATCTCGGAAAATATACGTTTTACAGAAAAGTGTTTCCAACAAAAGTTGTAGGGTTTAAGAAGATCTATATACTGATTCTATCAGTTTGACCTTGGATGGCGTCGTCAAGGTCAGGTCAAGGTCACATTGACTTTTTTAAATGACACCCCCTACATTTGATTGCATATTCTTATAGCTTAATTCAAGAGCTTTCCAAAACACTATAATAATGTTCATTTTTATTAAGTACTTTGCGAGTTATGAGGGTTGAAATAATTTCTTAATTTTACATAAACCATAAAATATCTAGTAAACCATTCATTTTTCGATTATCTTACCTTCATACTTTTATGTACAAATTAATGAGAGGAATCAATTGGTGTAAAGAAAACACATAGTTGTTTCTAAGAAAAAATATGTAATTTGCAATTAACAATTCCATATTTTTTCTTAAAAACAACTGTATGTTTTCTTTACACCAATTGATTCCTTTCATTATTTTGTACATAAAAGTATGAAGGTAAGATAATCGAAAAATGAATGGTTTACTAGATATTTTATGGTTTATGTAAAATTAAGAAATTATTTTAACCCTCATAACTCGCAAAGTACTTAATAAAAATGAACATTATTATAGTGTTTTGGAAAGCTCTTGAATTAAGCTATAAGAATATGCAATCAAATGTAGGGGGTGTCATTTAAAAAAGTCAATGTGACCTTGACCTGACCTTGACGACGCCATCCAAGGTCAAACTGATAGAATCAGTATATAGATCTTCTTAAACCCTACAACTTTTGTTGGAAACACTTTTCTGTAAAACGTATATTTTCCGAGATATTTAGGGGTTTCCACACTTTTGGTAGACCCTGTATATATATATATATATATATTATATATATAGATCTAAATTGTAATTTATAGTAAAGACAAATTGATTAAAATTTTCATATTTTTTATAGAATCACAGTATAAATATTCAATAAAGAGGTAAATACTATATAATTATGCAGAATATAAAAAATATTTGTGATCTTATCAGATGATAATATTATCAGATGATATAAAATCAGATGATAATATATGTATTCTTTCGTTTAATATACAAAATTACAATCGAAAGATTGAATAAATTAAATTGAATTGAAATTATGCAAGAAATTGAAAAATATTTAATATATGCATTTCATAATTTATCATTTTATTTATATTCTGTTTGCGGATGCTCGCATTGTAAACATCAGTCGGATTAGGTCGGTGTCTTCTGGTTAAAAGGAAGAAGAAAAGTTATGTAACGTTACACATGTTCGCATACATTCAAAAGACGTCATTGTTACTACTGATATATCTACGAATATCTATTGTCGTTACTGATATATCTACGGATCAACGAAATTTATTACATTATATTAATAATTATGTGACTTATATACGATAAAAGATAATGGGTCTTATCGCGACACGTATTGCGCGCACGTGTCCCATGTTTTTTAAACTTTTGCGAATGTACGTGTTGCAAATTGTACGCACGCTGGAAACTGAATGCACGCGAGCGGCAGTCGTCGACTACAAACGATTCGAAAACAATCGCGAACGACTACGATCTTCCAATCTTTTCTTTCTCCTTCTTACGTACTGTCCGATACATACTTGTCTAGACGAGCTGTGATCAACGCAAGTCATCATCGACTTCCGTTATCACTGCAACAATACATTCTTTCTTTCATTTATGCTTTATATAGCGCATTGACTTTATTAATGATATCGCGACGCTTTTATCGCGAATCTTAATTTCTCGGAATTTTCTTGTCAAAGCTGCTGATACAAAATATGGTTGATCTAGCAAAAAACGTTTGAAACAAAAATCAAGAAAGTGATATATTTGATAGCATTTGATTAACATGATTAGATATATGTAAAGATGTATAGATAAATTAGACATATTCATTACATGTTCCTATAAAAATAGAAAATAAGATGTATATATATGATTCTGTATGGGATATAAATTATCTCTTTAAAAATAAATTAATATATACTAAAAAAATATTAATAAATATAATAATTAAATATACACAAATTAAATAATTTTGAAAATAAAATAAAACTTTTCAATCAATTTTCTTTAAGGCTATCAACAATATGAGTAAAGATTGTGGAATATGCGGGATTTATCCCAAGTGGTTGCGAAATCGAGCCACCCCGAGAACCTTCATTGCCGTCTATGGTCTACTGGGCACCGTCCAGGCGATGGCCTTCATTTACATCATCGTCACCTTGACGACTCTGGAGAAGAGATTCAAGATTCCCAGTCGTACGACAGGTGAGCTTCATTCCCCTATAACCGACGTACAATAAAACCTCATCGAGACGCGACGACTGTGTTTTATTTGACAGTTTATGAAGATACACATATCACACATTTACGAGTTTACGCGATTAGAACTCTAATAGGACATTAATTAAACGTCGTGTTAGACAATCGTTTGAAGAAAGAAACTCGAATGCGAAGTTTCAATTATTCATGCTCGAAAGATCGCTTTTTATCTCGATACAATAGAACTTCATCTTTGAACATCATCTCTCGTCTTATAATCGCCTTCAGCCTCGGATTCCATTGCCAGTGAAGTCGAGTAGCCGAGCGTTCGTGGGTTATGCTCGTGTATTCGCACACACATGCGAATCGCGTTCCTGTGTGGGTTTATCTAGTAGGTAAGTAGTGTGTCGCAATCATAGAAGTGACAAATCTGTCATACAACGAGCACTGTACGAGCAAAGGCGCGTATTACACATGCGAATTCGGAGCGAGATGTCAACGCGTTTATGTAGAAAAACTGTACATAATTTCTCGAGAGAAAAAACAAATTAATTAATTGTTAACAAGTTCATTAAATAACGTATATACATGTAACGATATAAAAATCTATCTTTTTCTCCTTAAAATATGATATACAAGATATTAATAATTCTTTTCACATGTAAATAATATATATAATATGAAAAGAAAATTTACTGACAAATACATATACATACGTGCGCACAAATTTTTAATACGGTGCTGTAAAGAATTTAAAGGATTAAAATTGAAAGATCGGAAGACTGTGTTTAATTAATAATGAACGTTTACGCACTGCAGCGAGATGATAAGGTAATCCTTTGTTTACTCATATTGCATATAATGAACAGAAACGAGCAAGTCATTTGTATTCGCGAGATTAAGCATCACTTTCGACACGATTCATATTAATGAGAAATATTTTTATTTATTTTAATTAAGTATCTTCTGAGATTTGAACTTTTATTGATAGGCATTCAATAAGGTCAAAACGCATGCGATATAATTTGATTATTTGAATACACTTGTACATAAATTATTTATATCAGTATGCTGTTGATTCTCCAAACAAAACTGTTCCAAATAAATGAGCACAAATTGCAATTATACCTCAACGCTGCAATGTTGCATTTTTAATGTACGAAGCGAACAATCATTTTATTAGGTAGAAGCGACTAGTATATATATATAAATATGTCTATTGCGCAAATATAAACATCATATCAAAATTGCATTGATTATAAATATTTTAAATTGTATCTAAAAAAATTAATGGGAATTTTATTATTTTATATTACAGAAATAAAAAACTTTACTTTAATCTTTAAAATTAACATATATTTAATGATTTTGTGAATTATTTTATTATATATATATAATAATTATTATATATAATAATGTTATTATATATAATATATTATATATTGTGCTCTTTAAAATTACATCAACTTTTTATCTCGATAAAATAGAAAAAAAATAACTGTTAAAGAAATTTCGAAAATTTCATATTAATTTGTAAATATAATAATATGGTATAATTGTTTTCATTTAGGGTTGATTCTTTCGGGTAACGAAATCTCGCAGATCTTGTCTTTGATCTTGACCTACTACGGAGGATCTAGTCATCGGCCGAGATGGATCGCGGTTGGAGTGGGCTGCAGCGCATTGTCCTGTCTCGTATTGGCCCTTCCGCACTTCATATATGGCCCCGGGAAGGACGCCTTGGCATTGACGAAAGAATATCTGGATCAGACCCTGCTGAACAAAACGACCGTCTCAAGCGACCTTACAATTTGTTTGCGCGCGGATCAACCCGAACAATGCGACGCCGAAACTATGTTGAGCGTCAGCCTTCTCCCGCGACTGCTGGTTTTTATATCTCAATTTATTCTCGGTATCGGAACTACTCTTTATTACGGTCTGGGACAGACGTATCTGGATGACAACACGAAAAAGAAAAATACACCTATGCTCTTGGGTGAGTAATGATTGATAAATTTATCATTATTGATAATCTTTAAATTAATAAAAAATATATCTTGTTTAACATCTAAATTTATCTGTAGATGTATAGAAAAATGGTTTTGTTAAAACATCGTAATAATCTTATTAAACGGATAAGAAATAGAAGTAAAGTTTACATTAACTTACACAGCACGGGTCGCTTTTATTTTGGTATATATTGTACCCAGATAGCAAGCACATGCTACTTTGATGTCCCAACTAGTCATTTTTGGTCATATGTCAAAATGACTGATTTGTTATATGACTTTATATTGACGTCTAAATGTAACATTATTTTGACGTCATATTTCAATCATGAACTAACGATTATTAATGTGATTAGTTAGTACATCGATAAAAAAATCTTTAAAAATTTTTTATATAACATGACTTTCGCGATCAGATTTTAACAATTTTTCTTTTAACGCATGCGTTTGTCTGTGTACGATTCATGTTGTTTAACCACTCAAGTGTTCATTAAATTAGTGTACAGTAAAAATATTTTATAATTATATCAATTGAGTATAATTAAAGTGCCAAAAAATGTACACATTTTTTTATAATATAATTGATTGGCAAAATATATTTTTATAAAACGCAGGCAACGGAAGACATTATTTGTTGAAATTTTATATGATATTAGAAATAAATTTTTATTTATGTTTAAATAAAATAATAATAACAAATATAAAACGTGTGACCTATTTTCTTATCATATTTGCGTTTTCCAGCGTTCGAATAAAGCAGTTTAATCGATTCGAGATTCCTCTGAAGAATAGAATGACTGCAATTGTTCAGTGATGTTCTCGAATCGATTAATCTGCTTTATTCGACAATGCTATTAAACACATTATTATGTTAAGAAAAAGACGTTAAAATATAGTACATTTTATGACATCAAGAATTTGTGACATTAGATCGTCACTTTTACACCATAAAAACATCAACTTGTGACGTCAAGAGTAGTCAGTGAATGATCAATTTGAAACGTCAAAATGACTGTGCTTGCTACCTGGATAGAGAGTATATTTTTAAATAATACACGTTTTGAATTTGTGGCTCCCGCCCACACATTTGTTTAAATATTTATTTTTTATTTTTAAATAATAATACTTTTTAATAATACTTTTAATAATACTTTTTAAAAATACTTAATAAAATATTTAAGAGATTCGCAATAACAGGTAGAAATTCGTAAAAAGCTGTATTGCTACATTTATTTTGAAATTTTTAGAGAAACTAAACAATAATTCAGAAGCGTTGATAGTAACACAATAACAAGCAAATGTAAAAAAAATATATAAACACAAGTAGGATATAAAGAAATGATACAAATAAGAGAGAATTATGATACTTCAAAATAATTTCAAAACCACGTATCTCAGGAACCAAAAGAGAACATCACAAAATTCAAAACATATATAATATTATTTAAAAGAATGTACTCCAATATATGACCAATACAAAAACGTAACAAACAAATTCCAAATAAATTTGTTTTGTTAAACGTGTAATTTTATTTAAAACGTTTCTGAATTTTTTACAAATTATTTTTTTATATGAGCATTTATTATTATTACATATTTAAATTATGTATTTTTCTCAAGAATCTTGAACGATACGATCGTTGTCATTGAAAATTTAAAAATAAAATTTAATATTACTAATTCCTAATTTTATATTAATTTTTAAGCCTTTACATTTGCTTTACGCACGGTGGGTCCGGCGGTTGGATTTCTATTGGGTTATGCTTGTTTGAGTTTATACATAGACCCAAAACTTCATCCCGTTATTACGCAAAAAGATCCGCGATGGTTAGGCGCGTGGTGGCTTGGATGGATCATTCTCAGTATTACATTGGGCATATTCGCCGTTTTGATCGCTATGTTTCCACGCGATCTTCCCAAATCGAAAAATATCCCAAAACAGGTAATTACTCACTATTATAATGTTGTTGAAATAAATATTTAATAAATAAATATTTCGTTATTAATGATATAAAAAATATTAAGAGCCATTTCTCATCGAAAAATTAATTTAATAAAAATATATGATATAAAATATATATATAATATTCTGATCGATATTTTAATTTCCTATAATCTTAAAAAATTATGTATTACATATATGACAATTTCATCTGTTATAAAAATATATTTTTTTGCATCAACATGTAATAAATGAATAATCTATATTAAAGAAATAAAGGAAACAGTTTCTTATTAAAAAAATGTAATTAATTTACCGCGATTTCTAAAAATATTAGGGATTAATTTATAAATTGGAAATATAAATAGAAATAATTTATGTGCGCAAAGATTTTTAAGAAATAAGTAACAACAAGTCAAATTAACGACGATTTTTTGCTTCAGGATGGCGAAATACCTTTGAAGCAGGATATAATACTTCAACAGAAATTGCCGATACAGATGGAACCTATGAAGCCGATTCCTCTAGAGGCTGAATACGTACCGACTATCCGTGAATTTCCAAAGGCTATGAAACGAGTGTTAACTAACTGGCTGTTAACTTGCAATAACTTAAGCGCCGTATTTTACATACTCGGCGCTTCGGCCTATATCACGTTCTTGGCGAAGTATCTTGAAGTACAATACGGTACGTCTGCGGCTGGTGGTACTGTGATAGCAGGTATGAACGTTGATCTACATGCGTTTGTATTAATTTATTTTACTTTAGTTATCATTTTCAAATATATCTTTAATAATCTTTTTGTGCGATAACGTTAAGACACATTATCAGAAAAAAAAACTTCGACATTTGTTATGAAACAAGTTAAATTTTAATATGAAATAATTTTCTCCCATAATGCTTTTGCTAGAAAATAATGATTTTATTAATTTTAATAATTGATATTAATAATTGATTTTAAATTTTAAATTGATTTTAAATTTTGAATTGATTTTAATAATTGATTTTAAATTTTGTGATGAAAAATGTAATATTTGATTTATCAGACTCGCCATAATTGTTTCTTTGTTATTTCTTAGGTCCCATATCACTAGTTGGGATGGTATTAGGATTCTTATTATCAGGATTAGTAATCAGCAAGTTCAAACCGGGTCCCAGACTGCTCCTCGGGTGGAACGTACTTGTCGGCATTTGCTTCGTCGCAGGACAAGTGTCCTTTATATTTTTCGAATGCACGGACGCTGGAATTCGCGGCATAGATTTAAATACCATGCAGTGAGTATATCTTTACAATTCGATTTTCTAAAGAGTCGCAATCCAAATAGCTATCTAATCGCTAACATTACATATTTTTCTCTTTCTATTTGTAGAATGAACTTAACCGCTGGTTGCAACGCCGATTGCAACTGCGCGAATGTGAAATATTCGCCGGTTTGTCACGAACCATCCAAGACGACTTTCTTCTCCGCTTGCCACGCGGGCTGTCGAACGATCCTGGACGACAAGCTGTTCGGCAACTGCAGTTGCCTGCCATTAGGCGAACCGGAGCAAGTCGGAGGCTACTTCGAGTATCTTAGCTCTAGTAAATCATCCTTCATTCCAGACCAACAGATGCACGTGTTGGATTCGCAGGCGTTCCCCATGATTTTTGACAAGGTCAAAGCCGGACCATGCATCAGTGACTGCAAAAAGTCGTATCTGTTGTTCGTAATACTTTCTTGCGTGATCCAAACGCTGGCTTGTTCCGGCAAGATCGGTAATGTCCTGGTGAACTACAGGAGCGTTGAAAAGAGGGATAAAAGTTTCGCTACAGGCGTCGCGCTCATGATCGTTTCGTTGTTTGCTCTGATTCCGGGACCGATTATCTACGGAGCCATCATCGATTCGACTTGCCTAATATGGGAGGAATCCTGCGGAACTAGAGGAAACTGTTGGTTCCATCATCGGGAGAACTTTCGATACTTGGTGAACATCTCGTCGGCCGGTGAGTATCACAGGTGAACGGCCCATTTTGCTGACGAGTCGTATTTGTTCTGCAATCGATTAGATAAAAAAAAATAACGCAAATAAATATAACAAGTAGCGCCTATTATCAAAGTTATCTTATCGGATCAGTTATGCGTTCGAATATTGTTTCTTTGCTTTCCATCATAAAAAATACTCATATTGCAGGATTTTCCATGATTGGAGTACTATTTGATGCTGGGGTTTGTTATCTCGGCAAGAATGTGGACTTATATGGCGCCGCGGAAAATGACAAGAGACGCGAATTGGTGAAGGAAGATGTCACGATTGATAACGCGAAGAAGAAAAAAGAAGCCAATGGGAATTTGAATCAGAGGATAGAACATGTTCATTTATAACGCTTGCTGCGGTCAAATAGGGTTTTATGTATTTTTATAGGTACCTGAAATTTATGTATTCCGGGTTTTCTGACTCCGACGCTGAACATTCCAACGATTTTTAGATAAAACAATGATTCCATTAGACAGCTAATCGTGTAAATAATTACATGTGCATCTTAAGAGCTGCATTCTAGAAGATCGAAAAAGGGAAGCTAGGTATACAGCTAGGTATACTGTTGTTGCAACTCTATTGAAACTCTGTCTTTTATTTGAAAATCATGCTTGTTCCTACTTCTTTGTAAATAAATTATGAATATTTTTATTATATGTCATACTTTTCATGTTTTATCATGATCTATCATCAGATATTGTCATTCTTTTTTACACAATATTTAATTCTGACCTTTTAATTTTCAAAATAAAAGACAAGTTTAGTAAAGAAGAAGGAAATAAATTTAAAAATTTTATATAAAGTAATTCTACATATCAATATATTGATACATGTCAATATATTGATGATGATGCTTATATTAATTATTATTTTTATTTCTGCAATTTTTCAAGCTAATTCGAACGGATTCGTTACTCCGATAAAGTATTCACCCTTCATTGCTTTATCATTCGCCAAATCTCCCGCAAGCAGAATGTAATGATAGTCGCGAGAAGGAAGGGTTCGTTCGAAAAAATACATCGGTAAATCGACCGTGCTAGTTCCTCGGTGTAGAAGGGAAAAGAATGAACCAAGACGAGATGGAAGAGGTAAAGTCTTAGGGGCTTGTTTTCAACCACCATCGAAATTCGAGGGGGTCAGCGGGGCACCACTGGGCGAAGGGATTACATCCCACGAGGCTGAAAGTAAAAAGGGAGTTTTTGTTTGAGAGCCTTTTAATTTTTAAGCCCACCCAGCTAAAGCAGGCGGCTCGACCCGTGTAATGAATTCCGCGACGTTCTCGTGACGTCAGGTCGTCTCTATCGATCGCATCCTTCGGAACACCATTAGAGGATGCGCTTCGGCATTACGATTAAGCGTTCTATCTTATTCCGTCGCAAATAAAGAAAAATGAGGTCTACGAGATGGTTAACTCTGACGAGGAATTCGCTGATGATGTTAAAAAACAACGCTGCGATTTTCTCAGAATTCGAAATCTTTTATCGATTTTATTTTATATTATTGAAATAATTTAATGCGACAAAGTGCACGTAAAAAAAGTTTTAAAGAAGAAATTGTTGATTGTATTTTTTGATACAGTAGTTATAATTTTGTTTTATATTTTTAATTGTGATGTTATAATACTATTTTATTGTAATATTCTAATCTTAAGAATCGGATTTGTTTGTATAAATTGTTATTTTGTTATCACTGGTTTTACCTTTAATGTAATAATATTTTGTAATGATATTTCCGAAATATTTAATGAGATATGAAAAAATATACATATATGATAAGGATAAATTTTGATTGGTTATAAGAAAATGAAAGAGAAGTGAAAACTGTTGCTTGTTTGCGCCTCGATCTGGCATTATAAAATTTTGCTGTTGTGTGTACACGTTGCATTGTGCATGACCCTGACCCATCTTTCATATAGACCTTATCAACGTCTTCTAAGTCGAGGTACAGTCCGATCTGTACTAGCTGCGAGACTGCCCGATAAAGAAGGACAGAGGCATGTGATATAGGCGACCGGAAGCAATCGGTTTACTCACCTTCCACCACTTTCAAGCTCGAGGATCGCATCGTTTTTATTATCGATCGTGCTCTCTCGTCGTATTCTTTTTCTTTGAATCGTAGAAGGAAGAGAATCATGATATGGACATGTATTATATTTTTTATATGTAGCATTTTATATGTTTTTGTTTTCAAATAATATGCTTCTTTTGCCGCATGATGGAATGCAACGACACAAACTTGGGCAAGTAAGACCAAGTAAAGGAGTAAATGCGAGTATAGGTTCTACAGTGTCGAGAAAAATGTTTGCAAACCGTTTGAAAAAATACCGCTTAGTTCTACTGCAATAATAACGATTCTAATATAGCTCGTCCGGCATTCTTGTTACGAATACTGCGTAATTTACAAACGCAAGTGGGTTGTGCCGCTTGAAGCGCCTAACGAAATTTGTCAATGTACTAGTGCAGTAACCTTGTATTTTACAAGTTAACTTGTCAGATAATTCAGGCCGGACATCGCGTAACTGGAGAGAAATTGCGACAGAATTAATTCATGGTATCGTGTGAAATACACGTGTCTCGCGCACGTGCGTGCTGTAGAAATATATTATTCCAAAGATTATTGGGATACTAAAAAAAAAGAAATGTCTAAACAATTTAATCGATCTCAAATCTGGTTGCATGTCTACCTATAAGTCTCGTGAGATGACATTTTAATATAAAAATTGTTTCACTATCTTATATGGTTTTATATTGAATTTAATTTTTATTTCATTCGGTAATATGTATATATATTTTATTATTTTTTTATACAAAATCTTAAAAGCAGGTTTCTAAATTTATATGTTATTAATTTATGATACCATTTATCTTTAGCAATTTACATTTTAAAATGATTTGTATTTATCAATATTTTTTATATATGTTAATAATCTGAAACGTTTTACAGGTTATGCAATTTCGAAAAAGTATAAGTGATGATTATATATTAAAGTAGCTGATTTGAGTATTTCTAGTTGAAAGTTAACGTAGAGAAGAATTCAACTTCAAGTCGCGACCAAAAACATAGCAACCTTCGAGTGATATATATACGTTTGAAACTGCGTAAACATGGCGCCATGAATCGTGCAAATACAAAGTTTATAAATCATAGTGAATTTACAATTTTTTCTCGATAATAAGAGATGTCTCGTCAACATTAAATCTGCCCAACGTCATGTACGTCGCGGTTCTCGATAATAAAAGATGTCTCGTCAACATTAAATCTGAAATTTACGCACTGCAACGAAAGTAAATGTAGATTCTTTGTAGTTCTTAATTTTTACTCAATTAAACAAATAGCTGCATTAATAAGAATATCTTATGAAAGACGGAAATTTCCACGAAATGTGATCAATTATTATAAGATGCAAAATTCGTTATAATCATTAAATGTTATTATTATATTATTATATTACATGCGCGAAGGTACAGATGCAGATTTAAGAAATAATGTATGTGTTCGATATAACAAATTCACGCATGAATAACTACAAGCTATTTAGACAAGACTCGAATATAGAATAGTTCTTTTGCTCAACAATGATTTTTAATATGATAGCTGATTGATATCAGGTATTCTTGTGAAATTTTATTTGCATGCATCAAACGACAGAAATCGAAGATTTCAAGAAATTTATATATACATGGTACATTCTGCGATGCATTTATGATGTTCTTATCGTAGATGTAAATTTTTCATTTGTCTCGGCAGGTTTGCGAGCAAGTAAATACTGTCACAGAAAAACGTCTCTTGCAAATCATGATATAAATGCCGGTTGTCGCGATATTGCAAAATCACGACAGAATAAGTATCATTTAACTGATTTCGCATATAAGGGATTTTTATGCCTTTTTCACTTCTTCGGAGATCCTTTAATACTTAAAAAAATGTATCCTTTCTCTCGTGTCATATTTGGAGATCTAATTAAGACAGCCACACAATAGACATTTGATTAGTCATTTATGCATACAGATCATACCGTCGTGATAAGAAAATTGATATCAAATATCATTTCTTACTATCGCTGCTCTTTTTCAAGATGAGATAGCCAGTTATTTATTTAAGATTATTTTGAATAACAAGTGTGATTGTCAATTCTTTTTCCTTTTATTCCTTTTTTTTTTGTAAATTCATATGATAACGGTATTTTATTTGCAATTAGAAACGAAAGAATATATCATTGAGGAGACGAGAAAGACGGTATTAATATTCAAATTACATATTATTAATTAATATTCAATGCAATATTTTATTTAATATTTTGCATTCTCGCGCAATGATCTCGATCATTTTCCGGAAAATGCTGGGAACAGCTGATACAATCGTGAATTTAATGATCGTGAACTTAACGCGGCTCTTGGCGGAGACTCATCTCCATTACACCGTAGAATAAAAATTAAGCTCGAGCAATTACTCGTCAGCTATTAGCGACATAGCTGTTTGATGTGTACCATTAGCAATAGACGGAAGACTTTAGACCGCGAGTGCCATTGTGTGCGCGCGCGCGCGCGCGCGCATGTATACATCACGTCGGCTCTATTAAATCATAATGGGTCCACAATGTGAGCCTCTGCTCCCGGAGGTTGACTAGAAACGAGCTTAGGCAACGCCGTAACCGAAAGCCGAGACCTCGCCGCGGTCTCCGTACGTCGCGAATAGTCCCGAGTACGGATGTCCCGTTTCTTCAAACGGACGTCGGGCGTCCGTTCCAAGGTGGAAACGGCGCTCTTGGAAAATTGTGCTTTCGCGTCAACGTCGTGTTTCCTGCCTCCCCGGGAGCCAGGCGTTGCAAGAACAGCACAATAAAAAGTGTTGATCGAAAGCCGCGGCAGCGGAAAAGAAAAAAATGACGATGCAACACGAGTTCGATAACTAATGTATATCATCGCGTTGTCGAAGAGAAAGGCTTCCCCCGCGAGTACACTTAATTTAGCGACAATTAATCCATCAGCTTCCAACCGCAGAGTGCTAAATGTATGTAAATATCGTGACTTGATAGTGTAATCCTCTGAACGCAAAGTTTGCTCCAGATCCGAAGAAATTAAACTGTCTCGTCACGGTAGCGGTCATTTACGTCACAGTAGATTATAAAAGTAGCGCTTTCATCCCAACGGCTTTGCTCTGATATTCATGCATCCGTTTCGCAATAGCCAGGGGCGCCGAGCGCTTACCCCATTAATTACTCTTTTTCCGCGTCAACCAATATCATCCCTACTCCTGTCATTCGTGCAGGTGCGGGTCATTAGATAGAGTCAAGCGGGCGATGTTCGCGGATGGAGTTCCTAGTCGTAGAAGGAGGAACGACAGAATCGTGATCAAGCGGGAAAAGAAGAGCCAGCCAGAGAAAGAGAGAGAGAGACCGAGAACAAAGGGGGTGGGGGAATAGGTTGATTGCGAGAGATAGAATTTACCCGCTTGATAACGACACGGTGGATTCATATAGATGAGGCGACCATAGCGGTATGTGTAAGAAGATCTTTTACCATCGTGGATCTCTTTCTCTCTCTTTCTTACACGATCGGTTTCTCGAGGGCGCAAAGTGGGGATCCTCCAACGAGCATAGAATATGGCATGTTCTCTGTTGCGCTTAGGTATCTCAGTTGCGGAAAAATATCGCTCGTTTTCGGACGCGAATCTATATTTCGCGAGGAATCACATCGACTCGCGGCCGCGAAGCGATCGGTAATCGGTGGTCCATAATTTTTTTTTTTTTTAAGGACCTTCGCCGCCTACTACCTAATACTTGGACTTGATCGGTGCCTGTCTCAATTAGTAGGTGAATTTTTCACACAAATCATGTAGCATCGTATGATTTTAAAATTATAGCATTATGCACTCATAAAATTTTAATATGTATATTAAAATATATTATACAGATATATAGCAGATACATATATAATTGTAATCATTGGGGAAAATTAATGGTTCAAGTTAAAAATACAATATTGTGTTTATAAAGTTCCTTTATACTTATAATAAAGTTAATCATATACAAATATAATTCCAAATATAATTAATCATAGAAATATAATAAGGTAATATTGTTCCAATATTAACAATCAGATAATACCGTGTAATCAATTTAAAATTGTTTGTGCAAACGTATATAATGTATTGTCTTTAGTCCGATTCAAGGTTTAACTTCTTCCATCGCCATCGTCGTTGATTGAGCATCCTCAGGATAAATTAACGAGCCGCACGCGCCACAGCTGCAGTCAACTCCCGGATCTCACGGCGTAGGTGTTGCCCGGATGCCTCCGAAACATGGAGAACACGTGATCGTGATAGAGTGAACAGGGATTAGTGCGAGAGAAAAAGATTAGATTTCATGCGCGAGGAAGCAACCCGAAACGAATTTGTGCGGCACGCGAGAAGCGATGCCAAGGGTCGCGAGGACGACAAAGTCATATCGAAATTACCGTGCAACTTGTGATTGAGGTCAACTGAGTACCGAGACTCGGAGCCGCTGGGTGCTGCTAGGTGCTTTGCCAGTTGCGGGCGGTCACGACGACGACGACGACTAGGTCGAAGATGAAGAACAACTCGAGTAACTCGAATCACGAGAAGAACGGGCCGGAGAACCTGAAGCTGTTACGGGTACCGACAACGCCGTCCACTGCGCCGTCGTCGCCCACGACGCCGACCAGGGGCCTCGAGGACGTCTTCAGGGAGCTGCCCATTACCGATGATACCTCGTGCGGTTTTTGGTGTTTCAAGGGCCCGATCCTGCAGAAATTCGCCAACAAGAAAGCGTATGTATTTCTCTACGGTGTCCTCGGCTGCATATTCTCCGCCAGTTATGCCTACTTCAATGGCACCATCACCACTATCGAAAAGAGATTTAAAATACCTTCCAAAACGACAGGTACGTATTATATGCTCCTTAAGATATAAATATGATACGATTGATAAATATGATTTGATTTTGATGGATAAATTGATATTGTAGATATTTATAGATATTATAGATATTATGTTTATAGATATTTATAAATATTTATAGATATTATAGATATTATGTGTATAGATATTTTTGCAAAATTGATAAATTATTCGATAAGCATTATTCCTAAATATTGTATATTACAATAATAAATTTGATAATATTGGAAAAATTGATTAATTTATAAATATTTTACGAGCATGAAAAATTGCAATAGGACGCTCTAGAAAGAATAGCATTGCCTAAATTTTTTATTATTCGTTAACAATAAATTCACTACGAATAAAAGTATACATGTATAGCATATTACATTTATTTTTTATTTACATTTTCCGATTAAAGCATGATGTTTCTTTACTGAGATCAAATTTAAAATTCTCCAAAAGTAGTATAGAATAGATTTGATCGTACATGTGGTATCACGCGGATGCTGTTGAACGAATCGCTATGCAATTTTTCATTAAATTGCGAGACCGAAAGGGTCTAAAATTTAATATATATATGATCATCTGCTAAACACACGCGCTTCTTCTCATCATACAGGTCTCATCACAGTGGGTAACGACATCTCGCAGCTTTTCGTATCCGTCGTTCTGTCGTATTACGCAGGAAGGGGTCACAGGCCTCGATGGATCGCTTTCGGTATTTTCACCGTAAGTTTTACCACACTCCTCGATGTTTGCGATTAATCTGTGATGTACCGCGTAACATTTGCGCGCGTCATGCATTCCGATCGCATGTCGGCAAGAAATAAAAGTCAGCTGTCGGCACACGCCCCGAGGAACGGAGCCGGTATAGACGTCATAACTCACCGATTGGTCGGTTCTTAATTAAATTAGGAAGTTAGTTAGAATCGTAGCTACGCTCATTCATGCCTCTTGCCATCGTACTCTCGTCGTCGTATGCTTAGCTAAGCGCTCCATTCTTCGGATAGCAAAAAAGGCCCTTGCGCGCGCGGATCTTTATACGTCGAGCTGACGTATCGCGCTCTGCGATATTTAAAGTATGATAAATGATAAAAAAATGAGGGGGATAATTTTCCAGATTAATAAATACGTTTATGTGTAATGTAAATTGAAATAATTTTATCAAGAGTTTAGCGACTCAGAATCATTCCTTTAAATAACTAAGTGCTAAAATCATTATTATTTCGTTAGGTTGTACTTTTCTGTTGTCTAACGATGCTGCCGCACTTTCTCTACGGACCTGGCGAGGACGCCCTGATGCTGACCAAAGAATACAGGACGAAACAAAGTTCAGAAAACTCGAGCGCGTATTCCGGCAAACACCGGAAATTTCTCTGTCTGGGAAAGGAGAATCGCGAAATGGAATGCGAAGTCGAAGACGGGAACTTTGCGCCGCAGGTGCTCCTCTTCATAGCCCAGCTGGTGTCCGGAGTGGGTGGCAGCCTTTATTACACTCTCGGAGTGTCCTACATGGACGATAACATACAGAAATCGAAGACGCCGGCGCTGATCAGTTTCTCGTACTTCCTGAGAATGCTGGGGCCCGCCATCGGTTATGGGCTGGCCTCGTTCTCTCTAAAGTTCTACATCAGTCCGACTTTAACTCCCACTATCTCGATGCAAGATCCGAGGTTATTAGAGAATTGATTGATATAATTTAATCATAAATCACTTGTTTTATATCAAAACACTCTCGTTTATTTAAAAAGGGTTACTTTTTTCACGTAATTAACATATTCAAGGTGGCTAGGCGCCTGGTGGCTGGGATGGATCATTTTGGCGATCTTGCTCTTCCTTTTCGCGAGCATAATCGCTCTCTTTCCGAAGACCCTGCCGCGAGCGGCCGCTCGAAAGGTCCTCGCTCTGCAACGCAACAAATCGGGCAGTAGCATTAAGCACGAAGGCGAGCAAGAGTCGGAGATACGACCGTCAATCTCGGATATGATGAGCACATTTAAACGACTGTTGACGAACACGACGTTGATGTGCAACAATCTGGCGACAGTCTTCTACTTTATGGGCTACATGCCCTACTGGATTTTTATGCCCAAGTACATCGAGACCCAGTACAAACAGTCGGCGTCCGTCTCGTCCTTGATCACCGGTACAGTCGGCCTGGTGTTCAGTGCCTTCGGAATTCTGTTATCTGGCCTAATTATTTCCAAGTACAAGCCGAAGGCTCGATATCTGGCGGCGTGGAATGTCATGATCGGCGTTATATCGATATTGGGGATGATCTCGTATGCCTTCCTCGGTTGCTCGGCGAACGACAACCAGATTGCCATTCAACCGAACGGCGTCCTGAAAACGCAGCTACCCTGCAATGAACAATGCCATTGCGACTACGTCACCTATAATCCCGTGTGCTCCGAATATGGACAAACGTTTATATCCGCGTGTCATGCCGGCTGCCGCGAGGTCAAGGTTCGATATCATTTTATGGTAAATGTATAGAAAACCTCGTCTTTAGAGAATTCGCTAGTAATTTAAAGATTGAGAAATCACACAAAAATTGCAAAAAGCTTCTATTTTTTTTTCATAACCCCAGTTTCTTTCCTAAAGCGAGATTATCCTATGCAATCCTATTGTGATTTCTCAATCTTTAAATTACTAGCGAATTCTCTAAAGACGAAGTTTCCTATACCTATGATATGAATTGATTTTTTGGATATTAAATTTGCATGCATCTTCCTTAGCTTTACAGTAACGGCAGCAAGGTTTATAAGGACTGCAGCTGCGTGAAACCGAAGTTGACACGCTCGCTAACGCATCCGTTTGCCAATGCCACCTTCCAATTGCCCATGTCCCTTTCCACTGAGCTTCCATTGGATACGACTAAACCTACCGTGGAAACTCTGGGAACGGCAATTCCGGGTTCGTGTCCGGTCGACTGCATGCAAAAGTTCTACATCTTTTTGGCGGTGGTGTGTCTTTTGAAATTCAGCGGCGCAACCGGAAGAGCGTCGAATTTTCTAGTTTCCGTAAGATGCGTCGACGAGAAGGACAAGACGGTTGCCATGGGCTTCGGGTTGACAATAATGAGCCTCTTCGCCTTCATTCCATCGCCGATTTTGTTTGGATTTATATTAGGTTAGTGATAAAAACTTCATATACACATTCGCGATAATAACTGACATCGACGGAGACAGATTCTATAGCATGTTATCGAATAACAAACACGAAGATAAAACCGTTTATTCTTTTTTAGTAGCGCACTATGAGATCTTTATCAATTAAGGATACGTTCCAAAACGTACTCTCCGAGAAAAATTTTACTCGATAGCCGTTCCGAAACTCTTTTAAGCGTTTCCGATTGGTTCGAATCGGCCATCGAGTAAAATTTTCCTCGGTTACATGCGTTTTGAAACGTAATCTAAAATTACTGAAATATTGTCCATGTTTCTTGTTTTCTGTTTACAAGTCGATTAATATTTTATCTTTTACAGACAAGACCTGTCTCGTATGGGGTAAAACGTGTTCAGGGACGGGCAATTGCTGGCTGTATAATGGCGAGGCGTTGAGGTACTTGTTAAACTTCACCGCAGCCAGTGAGTATCTCATCATCATAGAACGATCAAGAAATACAATGATTTTATTCGTAACAATCTCCCCTTTTCCAGGTTTTGTGACGATCGGCACGTTATTCGACATAGGTGTCTGGTATTTCGTCAAAGGCGTGAAGATCTTTGACGAGGAGATCGAATTGGAAGATATAGCCGAAGAGCCGGGTGAGACACTTTGAGAAACGGTTATTGATAATCAAGTTCGCCCCTTTCGGGGTGTGCGTTCACGCGAAGGAAAGCTTCGATCGGAGATCTCCCAGAGAATCGGAGAATGCGAAGCAAGCGAGAACCGACAAATAAAGACTCTACAAGTACCTTAAGCACCTCCTTAGATATTTAAAGCTCATAGATCTAGATAGAACCGATCATTCATGGTGTTCGCTAGAGAGAAGCGATCACTGATCTTTTTAACAAATTCAATATCGCGGTTGATTTTATCGTAAACGTAAACGGGTGAATCCACAATTTGTAAGATATGAATTTTTAAGATTTTCTAGATTTTCGGATTCGTATGTATTTTTAATGGCAAATGAATGACGATTTTGGATGCCAATCGATACATTTGATATATACAGCTTGCGCTGACAATGATAAAAATAACGATTCGATATTAGTTCAATATGAATCATTGATAAAGAAATAATTGTACATATAACGGTTATATTCTGAACTAGTAAATTAGTAAAAAACAATTGTAATTTATCTGTACTCACCATAAAAAGATACGTATCTATCCGCTTCAGGTCACGTGTGTATGTGCGTACATGTATGTGATACCTCCGTGTGAAATATAAATTTCTCGGAGCATAATTTCATAAGGAATCTATGTGTAAAATGTTACAATAAAACAACAGAAAGTTATTATTAACTGGTAAACGAAATAATTCATACAATTTAGAAATACGATAAATTTTAATAAACATTTGAAGAAACAATTTTATTCTAATAGATATAATTATATAAATCTATATAATTTTTTTTACAAAAAATGTATAGAAATATGCCATGAAACGAAGCAAAAATTTTATCACCTGACTATTTTTATTCTTTATTAAATATTTAGACTTACAAATGAAAATGAAAGTTTATCAATTGCAAAATGTCAATTCTACATACATATGATAATTACAATGGCTTACAATTAATATTCAATAATTAAAGAAAGAACACATTTGTTTATGCTATATTTTACCTATTTAAGTATTAAGTAGAATCAAGTGTTTTCTATATTTTAAATATGATAAATGCCAAAGACAATATTATATATGTCTTTGTTGTTCCCCGAATCGTTAGAATGTTCTCATTTTGCTCACATATATATAAACTTATATCTATATATCGCATAGTAATATATTAATCTTCTGTTATCTATTCTTCTATTAATAGATTATTCATGTTTGTTCACAAATATTCGCAGAATTGCACGTCAGTGTCATGTGTGTCACGCATTATCCTGGCGTAAGTCACGCGTAATTTCACAGGTCGGTCTGAAATATTGGTTTGCTTCCCTTGGTGGAACTTTTCGGGCTGGGAGTCGCGCGTCTCTCCATACGCTGGTCGGAATTCTTGTCCAGCACATCCGGCAAACTGCTGAAGACCGAAGAAGATTGTCCTCGAGAGGAAGACGACCTGCTGGGAACCATAGCTACTAACGGTATGCCCATCTTGTTCTCCGGTCGACTCCTCGCGTCCTCCGACTTCACCGATAACCGATCTTCATTCAGAGTTTCCTGACTCACGTTCTGCTCATATCGGTCGATCAACGACTTGACGTCCTTCGAGTGCATCGTGTCGCCCGAGTTGCCCTTTCCTTCCGGAAATGGATCCGCTATCGGTATGCCAACTTCGTTGAAGTCGCCCTGTTTGGACACGTTGCTCTCTTGACCCTTCTTCGAGAACTCGAAGCTACCTGTTTTCGAGGAGCCGTCCTGATAACTGCTCGACTTTCTGAATTTGGAATTCCTGGCCCGTAACGGATCCTCGTAATGATCGGGATTCGGGAACCAGCGTCTTATGGACGAATTTTTGGACGAATGTTGATCGTTCTCGTCGTAATCCTTGCTCGAAATGCGTCTCCTCGATCTCGGTCCGATGCTGCTGAGATCGCTCTCGACGTCGGAATCGAGTACCAGCGGAGCGTAAGCGACCCGCGGACTCGATGGTTTCTTACTTTCGTCGCTCGAACTGTCCAGCTCGTCCTCGGAATCGAGATTACGAATCGTCGAATTGCGAGTCGTTGAAGGATTCGAGCCCGTTGATCGGCGATCGCCTGGGCCCAAGGGACCATACTTTAGAGGTACGTTCCTTTGTATTTTCTCTTCCTTCTTCGGCGAATTATCTTCCGGCACGTTTGTTTCTGGTGGTATCCTTGATTCGGGCTCGATAACCACATCCACTTGTCTTGTTGCATTATCTGCGAATATTATTTTAATTTTAAAAGATAAATAGTACCTTTAAAATTATTTTATTTCTATAAAAAACATCTTACTATTATTTCTTGTTTCTTGTATTGTTTCCTGTTGTTCAGTTGTTGGTGATTGCTCGATTAATTCTTGCAGCACCGTATTTTCTTGGTTCTCTTTCTTTTCAACTTCCTCGTAGAGCTGTAAATTTTTACAAAGGAACCAAAGGATAATCTTAGACAAAAAACAGAGAGACAAGAATAGGATCGTCAAGTAGCACAAATAGTCGCCGAGTTTCTCGCCATATAAATGACAGATTGCTCTTTGATTGCCCCAATATTGGCAGGCCTCACGTGAAACGAATTCATAGAGAATCTTTCCGGGAACATAAACGAAAATCGCGATCCACGTCATCGAAAAACCTATGCTGATGGCTTTGTCTTGCTTGTAGACGGATCTCATATTGATCAATAAATCTCCTACCAAAGTGGAAGCGACTAGCGCATACGCCAACAAAGTTCCAAACTGAAAGAAAGAAATGAAAGGAAAAGCTTTGAATCGCGATTGATTCGGATATTTTTATTGCTTGCAACAAAAAACTTCAGCAAAATATATAATATATTAAATATTAATTTTCAATAAATACAAGTGCAATTACTTCGAAAAGCATCCAACCAGCCTGGCATTTAATCGACTCGCACGGACCTTCTTTCGCTTGATCATTACCCCATCCTGTCATTTCTTCCACACATTTACAACCACTGTAAATCTTGACGTCGTCGACATAAATAATTGTGGTGCAGCCAGCATAACAAGGACTATAATACGTAAATTTTCCCAAGCTGTCGCAAATCGGTCGAAAATCGGAATCTTTTGAGCAACGACAATTCTTGTTGCAATATTTCAACAATCCATTGCTACGAAAATATAAGTCAATAAAATTAAGCGTCTGTAATCTATTTATATCAATTAATATATTGAAATGTCACAGAATGAGATATAACACGTTGCTTTTTTTAGCGTTATATCGCTGATATTTAATTGTAAATGTTAATTTTAAGCTACACTTACGATCCTTTGTCCAAACCGACGATGGATGGTCTGTCGCAAGTGACGAAGATCAGCGAGACGATAATCGCTATTGTTAAAAGTATGATGACAAGACTGTAACTAATAATAAACTTTGGCCGTGGCTTCGCTTTGGCTAACACTAAACCACTGATGATTATGATCAAGCCAATAAGAACAGGTTTCATAATACCTAAAATCAAACGTGAAATGTTATATTTGTCTTATCTGATTTGCAGCACATACATAAGAGGAATTATCCTAAAGTTCCTACATCTTAAATATTTAAATATTTCTTGTAAAACAGACTTTAATTTTTTATTTCTATCAAAAATTTGTATCAAAAATTAATTATTAATTATTGTTTTATTTTCAAGAGAGTTTTGTAACGATATTCAAGCTGATATCATTATAATTCATTGCGTTAAAAGATTCCAGATTGTTTTATCATTTTTATCATACATATTAAGAAATACATCGATTAATCTTACTCATGACTAATCTAGATCGTAGAGGATCGTTAAATCCAAGAAGCATTCCTGTCGGCCTTGGCATATGAAATCTGGATTCCAAGAAAATATCTTCGTGCATTATAAAATTGATTACCGCTATCGCACAGAATATCATCGCCAAGATGTTGCACATTAGAATTTTATTAGTAACTAATCTGCAGAATGACGGCCAAAATTCAGGACTACCCACTTTCTGAGTGCTCGTTCGGTGAGGTGCTCGATTACTTGCTCGACAACCTAAAATAGAGTAAATAATAATTATAAAATAAGCTGGAAAATAATTTTTATAAGAAGATATAATAAATACGTAATTGTAATATTATATATATGCATATGTGACATATACGTTATATGTACGTATGTACATATATAAGTATACGTATAACAAACTTATATTATAAAGTCTTAATTTTTGTATCATATAATTTTTTATATAATGCCAATTAATTACCACTGAGGGTAATCTTCGAGGAAACCATGAGAGCATCAAACCAGGAATCACCAATAATGTAGATAAAATCGGAAATCCAAGCCACCATGCTCCGATTTGATCCTGATATGATTTTATCATCTCAAAATTTTCCGCATCTACCCTAAATAAAAATTGATAAGTCAAAATATAAATATATATTTTTTCTGTACATTATAGTTTATAATTAATGCACACATATTTTTAATTTTGAAGAATTTTATGGCATATACATTACAATAATAATTATGTATTTATTTAAAAATATGTTATTTACTTAAACATACAACATGATGAAAGTACTCACCGAAGACATCCCCAGCCCAAAAAGTATCCGAAAACTATTCCGAAGATTTTTACAGCGATAATTATACCTTTAAAAGCAGTCACGTGCTTCATTTTTGTATTATCGTCCAAATAGGAAATTCCCAAGGCATAATATGATATATTTGCTGCACCAGTTATAATCGACACCGTAATCAGGATGACTATAACAAGATAGCAAGGTTCATCTTCTTCTATGATGACCCGGGATAATCCGGAAGTACATAATTCTGGGCTATCATCTATAAAAAATTTCAAGATATACTTTCGAGGCGAAGAAAATTATTTTTTATTTGTTTATAAATCAAATGTTAAGTAATTTAAATACGAGATAATTTAGATATAAGAAATATTAAAAGAAAAGTAGGAAAATTAATTAATAATATTCTGTTTTAAAGTTTTATAATCTAGGCACGCTAACCGGCATATAATGACATGTGAGTGACATTTTGCGTTTCTTCAATCACACGAACGCGATGTGTGAAATGAGGTATCATCAAAATAAAGTACGAGGCGCTCTGTAAAAGGGTTAAACCTCCTATCCATGAAGCTCTGTGTATTCTATCTCCCCAATACGCTACTAGTAATCCAAGGATGAAAGGCGTTAATTCTGCTATAACAAGAATCCAATCTGAAAAAGATAAGAATTATTTGAAAAATTAGAAATGTTAGATTTTTGCAGTATCAAAAATTTATTCAAGTAACGAATACCAAGCAAATTTAGAAATATTTCCATACTCGGAACAATCCTAGAAAAATTGCTAACGCAAAATTTATAGCTTCTGAAAAAATAACTTGACATAAATAAAAATAGAGAATACATAACAATTAAATAGTTTATTAAACTCGATGGTTCGCATAAAAATATATTATAAAATTTAATATTTTATGCTTTTGTTTAAATGAATAATATCTTTACAATTTTGCGATTTTATGATAAAGATTGAAAGAAGTAGCACTTGCAATGTTTCTTCAGAAATTAGTTTAAATAAATATGGTTTTGAATTAAATATTCCTTTGTAATACGGACCCATTAAATAAGGATCGATTTGAAATCTTCTAGCTATCGTCGATCCTGTCACACGGAAGTAAACGTACAATGTGGTTTGCACTATGCCAATCCAGCAAATCAATCCCACGAAGAGTTTTCGCGTCGCAAATTTTGCCAACTTTGGACATTGCATCTGACCACAACCGCAATCGATTGACTGGCTAGGTATTGGATTGGCTGGTCCTGACAAACTACCCTCCACTTCCGATCCACTTCTTATCACTTCCGAAATACGGACCATTTTTTTCCAAAGTGACGCACCTATTAATTAACGTAAGCCATATTAAAGTCTTGTATCATCCACGTGGATCATTCAGTTAAGTATTTTAAAAATAATATGATTTTTCATAAAGATAATGTTCTCTTATCCTTATTAAATGCTATATGTTTTATTACTCTTATTAAATTTTACATTGTGATTTTTGCAATCATTTATTATATAAAGTCGTAAAAAAAAAATCTATGAATAACATGTGTCTGATATCGACTTATGTGTCATCATGAGTCACATAATTGCAATCGTCAAGTTGGAGTCATCAAGCTTCAATATATCGAACTTTTAAGAAAAATAAAATAATAACAAATCTACGTATTTGATGATTATTTAAAGAATGAATAAGAGATGTGAAGTATCGCATAAGTCGCACTATAGAGATATACTTGCTTTTATTCAGATTTACTCCGCCCTGGTGTACTTTCCGGCGATGAGAATCCAATTCATCGATCTCGTGTTAATGTTTCACTCACGAGGCACATTCACATGATGACAACGTTTCGCGTAAAATTCCATTCTTCGGGAAAGGCTTGTTTTCCGCCTTTTCGCCTCTCTCCTTGCGGAGTTAGAAATGTTAGCGGTACAACGTACAGGCGCGGCACTACTCGACAACGAATATGAGCGTTATCTTCTTAACAGATATGCCGCCGAGATATCTTCCGATAAAATTACAGTATGCAATACACACGTACACCGGGATGTCGGGATAATATTACTGACACCAATATATCACGGTGTGTGATTTGACGCTATTCCCATAGAATATCAAAGGATAATCACAAGCTTTTATTCTTTATCACGTTGATATCCAGATTCCAAACGAGTGAACTTATCTTGTTCAATGATCAATTTAACAACGATTCTTTTAATCTGAAGATGTGATTTCTCAAAAAATGCGTATGCTATTATTATTGACACAACTTAATGTTCAATAACGTATTTTAGATTAAATCTTCTTCTCTTCAATTTATATAAGAATTCCGTATATTTATTTTTCCTCGAAGAGAGAAGAATATACAATTCTGTGATGCTTTTTATCAAACGCGCACGCAATCTTTTTATACTAGATATTCCTAATTTTAGTCGAATATAATTAAGTTTGATAAGATGTTTGAGAATTAATCAAAGTAAAAAGATTCTGCGTACGTAACTCTAAATTTTAGAATAAAATACAAGACAAATAATAATATACACAAGCCAAGGGAAGAATGATATGAAACCCCATCTTGAAACTCGATCGAATCATTTCCGCCAAACTGGGGCTCTCGAATGCTTCTAGCAATGACGAATTTCGTATTCGCATGTGAGCGCCGATCGAATCTTGCGAGAGGTCCAATTACGGGTACTCCGGCGAGGCCTAGCCGGCTTTTCTAACGCCAAGGAAGGAGTTAGCAGCCTTAAGCACACTTAAGTCGGCGCCATAAGAAAATGACGAATGCCAATTAGCATATGAAAAGCTCTCCCTCCCCGTAACCGTCGAGCTAGCTGCGCTAGTTCCTCGGCACGCTTGGCAGGGCGATCACGTTTTTGAATATTAAGGGCGGGATTACGCCGAGGGCTTAACGCGCGAAATTTAGTCCGGCGAGGCCAAGAAACGAGAAAAAATCACCCTTAAGACCCTCCGTATCGGACACCCGCTGGAAGTGGAGCCGGTCCTAGAGATGAGACGGAGAGGTGAAAGAGGGAAAAAAGAAATGGCATGCGCGCGAATCTTTCAGCTTTCTGTCGGGAGACGTGGGAGATATCATCCCCTAAATGTCGACAATCTTTGGGATTATGACTTAGTGACGATCATTAATACGTTCATTCGTCAACGACGATAGTTAGAGCGCGATTTTGAGGCAAGCTTGCGATTATTTAGTATTCTAAGAGAGTAGAAACGCTCATCGGAGATTTGATTGATTCAAACCAACTGATATATATTTTTGAAACATTCAAATAAAATAAAAAAATATTTGAAACATTCAAATAAAATACAATTAAAGATTTAAATAAAAAAATAAAAAATCTTTAAGATTCTTTAATTGTTTTATAAATTATTGCGTTTTAAACTTTTAAATTTATAAATTTTTTAAATACATGTTTTTATTTACATGTATATTTATATGTATTTAGTATTAGATTAGTATATATTATAAGCATTAAAAATCCATGCCTCAATCCAATTAATGTAGAATGATGTCACAATAATTTGTCGATAAAACAATGAAAATCTAATAATTGATTAATGAGAACAAAAAGGAAAATCTAATGTGAAAATATAAAATCTAATGATATATATCTTATACATTATATATATATATATATATATATATATATATATATATATGCATGTGTCTGTATGTATATCTGTAAATATCTAGACATGAAACATATATATGTATATCTCGCGCACATAGGAAGATGCAACCTTTCCATTAGCAGAGTAAGTGACCAGTGCTCGCATTTTCTTTGATGTCAGTTAATTTACTAATAACATCGTTTCACGACCACCGCGTGCTCGCCCTCTAAATATTTGTACCGCCAACATATCGACTTGGCTTCATGTAATTAAGCTCCATTATTATTTGAGCGCGACCGGCTGGGAAAAAGTCCTTTTGCAACGTCATCCTATACTAGTCGCGCGAAACTTTATTTCCTCCTGTTTCGCTAAGAGAGAATGATTCGGTATTACTTACTTATCGAATCAGAGACAAAGTGAGACTCCCTTCGCGATTTCCTTCTAACCTCCAGTCATTCAACTCACCGTAGTAAGGATAATACCCTTACGTTCTCCTCGAGAAATCCTTTCGTTTTCTTGAACAAGCATAATCCCGCACGATTAGCGAGGGGATAGAAAACGTATCCTTACATGGGAGAAGATGAAAATCTCGATCGACCTTTGCTGGTGCAGAATGGCATGGAAAGATGACGAGACAAGAGGTAAAAAGAGAGAGCGAGAGAGAGAGGAAGGGAGGGGGAGGAGGAGAGAAAGGTTCGGCGATCTTAGCAGAGGATTACGTAGAATTAAGTCCAGGACAGGGGCGTGCCCCCGTAACACTTAATTTTTCCCTCGATTTTTTAATCTCCCGGTAAATATCGTCCGCCCCCTCTACCCCCTTTCCCCTCCTTTCTCTCGCTCTGCCCCCGTTGTCGTAGCTACCCCTATTCGCCTTTCGCGTTCTCTTACCGTCGTCAAAGGAGAACCCATTTAAAAACCTCATCAATGCTTAAGCTCCCGCGCTACCATAGGAACTAATCCCTCCTATTTTAACGCAGGACGAAGAAGAAGAAAGAGAAAAAGAGAGATGGACGGAAAGAAGAAAAGAGAGAGAGAGGGCGAAGTGCGCGCTTTTAAAAGTAAGACTCCGCCTTTATTAGTAGATACAACAGTTTTATTTCCACCGAAAAAGGTAAAGGGAGAAGGAAGAGGAAGATTTCGCTTCGTATTTTTTCCTTGTCTTTCGATACCTCGATCTCCGTTTACTCTGCCCCTCTCTCTTTCTCCTTGTCTACCCTCCGTCTGTCTTGATTCTGGTTTGTTCTATTAACGCGGAACGTACACGCGAAGCTCCCAACCCTTCAGACACGCTTAATTGGCTACCTCCATCCGATAGCTAGTAACGTGCCGTTTTTTTGAAAACATCATTCAAATCATCGTTCGATTTTTCATCAATGCACTCTGTGATTTTATTGTTCCAGTCAAAATTTCTTTCAAATTTATTCTCCGCTTTTTTATTAAATTAAAATCAAATGTTGACATCGATCGATAAATTTCATTGAGTTTAGATGTTAAAACAATCCAATTATTTATCTGTTATAATAGCAATAAAATATTTTTTATTTGTGTCGCTTAAAAATTAAATTTGCCAAAATTATATTGATGCTAATTAAGCTTTAAACAATCAAACGGATCAACATGGAAGCGCGAGTGTCTCCATATTATAAATTTTCTTTGTCCGCAGGTAAAGCTATTATTTACGAGCGAATCATGATTCGTTGATGTTGATCGTGCGTTGACGAAGCGCGGCTCAACGACGCGACTGTAATACGCTTTAAACTGTTAATAGAGCGCGTTGAAGGGTGTTTGCTCGCGGTTGGATCTCGAGTGTTGGGCTAACATTCATGATGAAATTAATCTGGACCGGACGGACGAACGGGGTGACATCGATTAAAAAGCCCGGTGGCTTTCGCATGAACAGTCCATCGTATAGGGTTTGTATCCTCTACTTTGACCTTCGCGACCCGTTCACCTATGCTCTTCTCGAGATTGGATAAGTGATTAATGTCGATATAATATTTTATCTGAAGTTATTCAAATGGAAGATTTGAAATCGAAAGAATTCTTTATTAAAAGTTTCATAAATTGATATGTTCTCCTATTATTATTTCCCCATTTTTTTATATATTATTTTATATTTCTGCCATTTTTCATATATTATTTTGTTTTAATTTATTTTAATTTTTAAAGTAGTTTAATATTTTTTTAAATTAATGTGCGTTAGATATTATTATCTGTTGTCTTATTAACAGTTAAATGAAAATGTTGCATCGAAACTTATTATTTTGCAATTTTTAGGAAATGATTTAACATCTTATATGATGTACCATTCGAATCGTAACAATCACATTTTGCAATTGCATGCCCGATTATTTTCCAATAGGATTATTACTAATTACGGCTACTGTTCCAAGAGAATGCTACTAAGTAACGGCCGCACGAAACGCGGCAATAACCTCCGACCTTAATAGACGATAATGGTTTTGCGCGAATTATTCATTAGCTAATAACCGCAATAACAATAGCGCGATCTTTACGTTTCTTCGTCATTGTTTTAGTCTCTCGTTCGTGGAAAATGAGGAGAACGGCTGAGGTTTCCGCTGTGAAAGCGCCGTCGAGATAACAGACTTGGTCGGAAGAAGAGTGTGGGTGGCATGGGGTGAGAAGATGGGGTGGGATGGCAAGAGGGGATGGACGCTTAACATTACAATGGCCACTCGAAGTTGCCGCGACCCCAACTCTACCCATCGATGCAAAGCGCCGTCGCGATTCGGGATTAGAAGTCTTTTATGAATCGCAGATCTTGATGAATCGTTCCTTTCGCCTTCCGTCGCGATCGTCTTTAGGACTTCTAAGATTTCTACGCGCGAGTTCACTTTGAGACATTTATTAATAAAAGTCGCGTTTCTTTTAGATAAAATCCTCGACAAAGAATATTATTTGCATTGATCATCTTTTCGTTGATTGCAAAGTTACTCCGAAATCATTTTCCATATTTTTATCTATCGGAAAATTTTTTATGTAAAAATATATTATACACATGTTGTTTACAAGAGAGAGAGTCGCAAAAGAATTAATTATATCTTTTTTTATTTATTGTGAAAACAATTTTGATATACGATATTTTATATATAGTAATGTTTTTTTTAATAATATCGTGATTAATTAATCCTTTCTTTATATAAAGAATAATTATAAATCTTGCGTTTGTAAAAATACCCATTCGAAATATTCGACGTATGATATGATGGTGAATTTACAAGAGTAAAAAAATATTTTCTCTTCTCTTTCATGTGTTTTAAAAATATTTTAAATAAATAGATAAATACAAGAGGA